AAAACAATTGTATATTTTGCTAACTATCTTAATATTAGGATAACTAATTAGTAATTAGATTTTTTTTAATCACACCTAGATTTTTTTTAATTAGTAATTAGAAATTGTAATGGTCTAGATCTCTGCGAATCCTTGAAATGATGTTGTGCAATCAAGGGACAAAACATGGTTTGATCACAGATTCAATAAATAAACACAAAAAAAATAAAATAAAAAAACAAACTTACGATTCAATAAAATAGAATCACAGTGATTTATGTTATTGACTCACCTTGAAGAGAAGATGGATGTTCTTGGTTGTTGTGGATGCAATGTTGTGTTTTGAGGAGAAGAGAATATCAGAAGAAGTGAGCAAGGAGATACGAGAAGCGTGAAAGTAAATTATGACATTTTCAATTTTTTACTTTTTACTTTTCTATTCACAAATTTGTTAGTAGAATTAAGGGTAAAATTACAATTCACATTTATTATCAGAATTGAGAATACCAATCTGGTGAGAGGTGTGGAAAGTGTCAATCCTATTTTTTAACCCTAAATTAGTGTGTGACCCACATATTCGCACTCTCATTCTAAGATAAAAATGGGTAAATAAATATAAGGTTGATTCGGATTTCTAATTCTCATTCTCTACTCATAATAAGTAAACATGTCATTATTGAACTCACATTCTATTAGTATTGGTGCTTACTCGTGTTTCTAAATATTTTTCTTATTTATTTGAATTTTTATTGGGGTTAATATATAATAAATTCAGGCATGCACACTCGCGTGCCCATTAATTTACCCTCTTACAATACGTTTCTGCAGAAAGGCTCCGCTTGTTTCCGAGACTCAAAAAAAAAAAAAAAAAAAGGAAAAGAAATTAATAATATGCTTTCTCTACGTTACTCTGACAACAAAGCTTGGCTAATTTTTATGTAACTCGTGAAAAAAAAAAACACTAAGGAAATAGAAGGAGAGAAAATATGAAGACTTGATCAGGACCGTGGATTTCAGAACCTCTGACATAATAAAACACATGCACGCTGACTTGCTGCTACAGTGGTGTACGGAATTCTTATGGTTATCAGTGTTTGAGAAATGGAATGGAACCAAGAATTTAAAAACATTTGAAGTTGTGAAAAATTAGGTAATAAATGTAAGTTAATGGTCCGAAAGGCATCAAGATTTCTACAAAAGTTCATCCATACCTTTCGTTTTTTTTTTTTTTTTTTTTGATAATTCATCCAAACTTTTCCTTGATTGATAAGTTGGGCCTCTAATTTTTTTTAATTTGACATTTTTGACCTTATTATTCGCCTTTATTTGATGTATGTCATCAAGTGGACTACGTTGTCGAGAATTATCAAATTTCTCCTTAAATGCCATAATTAAAAGTAAGGGTTCTAATTTACAATTGGCCGAAAATTCTAGTGCATGAAAGCAATTTACTCATTATGAAAAATGTAGACTATTATTAATACTGTTAATCACTGAGCTATGATAAATCTTTTGTCCTTACATTGTTTATCTTTATTTGGCATTAAATTTGACAAAGAAAGAATTTTCAAAATTTAACAGAGTTAATAATACCCTTATGGGATAATAATTGAAAATTTTATAAAATTTGTTATATTAAGTATAAATGTTTTCGTTTTCAAGAGTTTTTCAGAGTAGTAAAGAGAAAAATTTGCTTTTAATGTAATTATTTCTTTAAAATTATATTATTATTGTTGTTAAATTACATTAATTCATTATCAATTTTATGATCAAGAACCAAAATTTGTCGAAAAAAATTCAAAATATAATATACTAAAAAAGTGAAGGATCAATAAAATAACATGATTTTTTAATGCAAAGAACAAAATTATAAGTATCAAGTCTTACACTATTATATAATAATTTTGAGACACTGCTATAGTGGCAATAAACAACATTTTCGTAATGAATTTCTCGTCTTCTTAAAGTAAATTTTTTTTTTTTCTGAAATTGTCTTTTTAAAGTAATTTTGAAACTGTAAGAATTAAACGCAATAGAATAGACCAATGCAATACACAATTTACTACTCACAACCACAAGACAAGAACAATAACGGTGGCTCTTATTGTTGTTATTATTTATGATATATAGCAATTTTAGAGAGTTGTTATGCGATAGGGTTTTTGAGAAAATGACCCTTTGCTAAAATAAATTGTCTTTTTTTTTTTTTCACTAAGAAAAAATTGACCAGAATAACTAGACCCTCATTTTTTTTAATGAGAAAAGTGTTCGCATAGTTAGGTACTACATTGAATCAATATATAACTTTGACATGTCCACATCTAATTTCCTATAAAGAAGCCCATATCTAATTGTTATGTACTCCAATAGGCGTGAGCACTTTTTAAATGGCAAAAAAATATATGGACTTTAAAAGACTCGTTTTTTGGTGTAAATGTGTAAGTAGGATTTCTCTCTCTCTCTCTCATTTTATTTTTCTTTTGATAATTCCCTACGTAAGATAAGAATCAAACTACCAAACATGGTTGGAAACTGAAAAAGACTATCCCCTTGGCTTTTGCCTCCCTGAACGGTGAAAGCTGGGGTTTAGTTTGGCTGATTAAGACCAAAAACCTCTTTATTTCGTTTTTTGCCCTAAGAAAAAAGGAGAGAATTTAATGAAAGAGTGCTAGGGATAAAATCCACACCTCAATCATCACCGTTCACGTGCACAACATTTCATGAAGAATGTCAATTGGAAGAATCGATTGGTCGAAAAGTGACTCATGAAATAGTATTGATTGGAGAAACATGATTGCAGAAGATTTATAGGGACTACTATAAATAAATCAAAAAAGAAGAACCTTATAGGCTACGAGGTCCAAGTCGAATATGAGAACAAAGGTAAGAATTAGATCAAACTTAGAGAGGAAATTACTTCAAATCAAATATGGAAACAAGAGGAGGAAAGTCAATTGAAGTTAGAAAGGAAAACATCATATTTCACTAATCAACACCGTGTGAGCTCAAGAAAAAAAAACCTAGAATGCTTAAATCATCTCCTATGAATAAGAGATTGATATCACGAACTGGATAACACTTTCAGCTACTTTATTCTCCTCTCTAGATTCTATCTCTGAATCGCCTCCTCATCTCTTCTCTATTATCTTGTAATTTTTTCATATACAGTGAAACCCCAAGATCTTATATATAGTGAACGTAGCCATCGTATTGAAGGTGGACCACTGTAAATTTATGTGTTAAATATCTTCACGCACTTTACGTTTTCATTCTAACATTTGATGGACTCAAGACCATATCGACACAACAATTTTAGTCGATGCTTAGAAGTGGTCATTGACCCTCTAAACAAATTTAATTGAAGAATCCACACTCTACATATAGTATGACAAAATATTTAACTCATAAGATACAATTTTAGATGATTAATCATGTCAAAATCTTATCAAATTAAAAATAATATGATAATTCAACCGATTTTAATGAAAATAAAAATTTTGAAAATATACCTATGAATAGGTATTTTTTTCATACCATATCATGGGAGCTTTCACGAATTTTTGAACATTAATTTTACAAATCAAGTTGTGTGAGATAACGCGAATTTTCATAGTTCTAACATGGACTTCAAAAATTTCAATTCATGAAATAGTGGGGCATGCGCTCTAATGTAGAATTTTTAAAAAAGAAAAAAAAAGAAAAAGAATTCTATGTAGGTTAGAGTACGAAAAGATAACCCAACATATCATAGGATTTTGTTTGTAAATATCGTATTAGATTACATCCGTACTATTATAAATATATGTATATATACACATACATATTATTTGATGAGATCTAATGTTTAAAAATATATAAGGTGGTTTTATTCACATACTTTTTTTTTAATTTCTACACTGTCTTTTAAATTTTAATTCAAATGACAAAAAGACTTTCACATAAAATGATAAAAAGACAATTACTTGACTTAATTATTTAATTAAATTTTATTATAAAAAAATTAATTACATTTTTTTTTCTTTCAGCACACCCTACATATTATTATAAAATTTTATTTTTGTACTAATCATTTTGTTTTTAAAAGATGATAATTTCATTTTGACCTTTTGTTCATGTAATGTTGCATTGTTTTTCTTCTTCTTTTTATGTCTTATTCTCTCTCTATTTTTTTATACTCTTTAGAATTTGTTTTTTTTTATTTTGTCATTTTTATTAGTACCTCAATAGATGTAACAATTATGTTGTCGTTACGCTTATATTTATGTCCTTTATTTTCTACGAAAAATGCAATAGTAAATTTTCTTTGTGTATGAGAAAAGACTTTATAATTTCACAAGAAAAAAAAAGACTTCATCCTCAAAACTTCAAAAAAAAAGATAAATAAATTATAGTATTAAAATTGCAAATTAAAATAAAATGGTGGGTGTGAAAAGAAAAAGAAAATCTTTAAAAATTAATAATTTTATTAAAATAGTTAGATGTAATCTTGGAATAATAATAGTATGTAAAGAGTAAATTTAATTCTTTCAAAATTAAGTGGGGTGTGTATTTATATTTAGAAAGTGAGTGTAGAGAATAAAAAGAGGATGTGAATAGAACCACACAAATGTGTTATAGGGATACTTTATTCTTGAAATTGATTTTACTTTTTATTATTATTTTTTCATCTTTAGGGTATTTTTTTTAAATTTTTTTTTAAAGTCTCCCAATAAGGTTATAAAGGCAAAGATTTGTCTGCAGAGAGCGTTCAGTTCTCTCTGTACCTCCCAAGTTGAAGCGATCGTTTTACCCACATACACAAACACACGAGCCTGTTATAAAATATCCATTTTCTCTCTTCAAACATTTTCTTTCCATATATTCTCACCTTTCATCTCCACTTTCCCGGAAAATTAGCTACCAAAACAGCTCTCTCTCCATAAATACTTCCCCTCCTCTCCCTCCACACAATGAATTAATTACCCATCAGTTCAAGCTTCTTCTTCACCTATTCCTCTCTCTATCTCTCTCTCTCTCACGAAATGGCTGATAAAGAGAGTGCCTATACGACGACGTATAACCGGTTCACGAGCCTCGCCAAGCTCTCCGTTCGCTTGGCCGAACTCTGCGTCGCTCTGGCATTCCTCGCCTGGATCTCTTCTCGGATTCCTCTCGCCGTCGAGATCTCCGGCGACTGCTTCCGGCAAATCTCCAGCGTCTTCTCGAATCCTCTCTTCGTCTTCTTCCTCTGCCACGTCATCCTCGTCTCTCTCATGGTGAAATCCGGCCAATTCTCCGGCCGAAACCAGAGGAGCGCCAGCGAACTCGACGATGCGATGGTGAAAAACTGCGAAGACGAAACGACGGAGTCGGAGTCTGTAAACGACGTCGCGTCGAGCGAAACAGAGGAGAACGTCTACGAGGACAAGCAGGTGATCTCCGAGGTGAACGCGATCACCGTTAATGGCGAAGAGACACTGGAGGTGGGCGCTGAATCCGATCCGGATTCCGATTTTCCGAGAGTGCTTTACCGGCGGTGGCGATCGGAGAATTTTGAGCTAAAGTCATCCGATCACTGTTCCGAAAATCTCCGGCGATCAGAATCGGAGAAGTGCATGGACATTGTTGTTTCCGGCGAGGGGGAACGGAATTCGATCGCCGGAGATTCGTATCGGCACGACGAGTTGAGCGACGAGGATTTCAATCGCACCGTGGAGGCGTTCATCGCCAAACAGCTCAAGTTTCGTCGTCAAGAGGATGTTTACGACGCCGTTTCGCATTCCTGTGGGGATAAAAGCTACGGATTAACAAAAGCGAAGCTTTGTTATTAGAATTTTGGGATAATCTCATGGTCCCTAAGGTTTTAACCCTCAATTTTACTTTGATATTAATTTTTAAAACGACTCATAATTGGATTCGTGAGATTTTATTTTATTTTAATTTAGTTATTTTATTATGTGTTAAATATTTGACAGAATATCTAAATATTAAGAATCAAAATTAGAAATATTTTAGGGACTAAAATAATACAAAAAAAAAGTTAAATCTTCATAAATAATTTCTAAGTTTTAAAGACTCGTTTAGTTTGTTAATTCGAGTTAAGATGTAACTTGATATGAGTATTTTTTACTGTAATAAAAAAGTTAGATGTGACTATTTTTGAAAGCTTTTTACTGTAGTAAAACTCAAATTCTAAATTTGAATCGGTGAAATGAACGATGCCTAAATATTTTTAATTTTTAATCTTTATTTTTTACAAATTTTATTAAATATTTAACACCTAACTAATGAAAGAATTGAAACTGAAACAGAGTAAAACTTTAAGGATTAATTGCTGAACGTTTTAAAAGTCAAAGACTAAAGTGAGATTAAGAGTAAATTGACCATTTGTAAAATTAACCTTAAAACTTTTTGTTTTGTTAATTTATATTTATCTTAGAAGTACTTTGTTGTTTAGTTTCATTACTAGTTAAATTATTACCTGGTCTCTCCACAGGGCTAAATTTTTCTGACCAAAACTGGGTAGCACAATTAAGTTACTCTTTTCTTTAATGGTGAGATATTATTTTGTTCGGATATTTATAGTGTATCAGACATTTAGAAGGGAACTTATTCCAATTTAGAAATGGGAATATCTATCATGTCTGCTGAGCTGGTGAGCTTAGTGCGGTTTACTGTGCAGGATTCCATGAGAATTCTCACCTATTACATAATATTATATACAATTATATTATACATATAAATGCTGTATATGAAAATTCTAAATTCTTTATCGATTTTTCTCTTTGATTTCTGTTTTGCATGCTTTTATTTTGATAATATTTTGATCAAATTTAATGTTTATAAAAATGTATTGTTGGTAGGTTCATGTCGTTTAATTTTATCAATGAAGTATGAATAGAATTGAATTCGAAGCATAATTGGAGTGAGGACGTGGGTGAATATGCTTTTGCTACCAATGGTTGATTCAAGGCCATTGAAAATGATATCATAAGTTGACAAAGTTAAGTTTTTTTTTTTTTTTTTTTTTTTTTTTATTTAAAAAATTTTTTTTTTTTTTTTTTTTTTTTTTTTTTTTTTTTTTTTTCTGTTAGTGTATAGATTCCAATTTTGTTATGTTTATTTGATTACGTGCTTAACGTCACTTAGTACTTTATAATCTTTTTATATTTTTTTTAATGAATACTTCAGTCTCGGAAAAGGAACAAGAAAAGATGTAATGTGGATATTGTGTATGTTTCTTGGAGGGTGGAAAGAGAAGAAAAAGAGAATATGTGTGAAACATTATGGTTAAACCATCAATATTAGTACAGCAAAATAATCAAGTTTTCATTGTTAACAGGTGGCTTCGAATCATTAGCTTATCAATAAACAGTAATTGTTCTTAAAAGTCCAAAATACTATCGGTAACATATCTATATACGTCTCAAAACACCTCCATTTTCAACCATATGGGATGGTGAAAAAAAAAAAAGAAAAACAGAATCCCTTTGCTACCGTAGGGCCGCTTATCCCCGTCAATATATATATATATATATATTGGATGACTCATGAGATCATGTTTAAATTTCATTTAATATTTAAGTTACTTGTATATTAACCAAAAGTATGTATTGTAGCCTTATTATAATCATTTTGAGAGTTCTATAATAGAGTAGGAAAAGATATATTTATGAGTAGGTCATTATTTTAAACTGTTAATGATTCGGGTTTAGAATTCAAATTTTACTATAGTAAAAAATTCTCACATAAATTCACATCTCAACTCGAATTAAAAATTTGAATTAACGAACTAAACGGGCCCTAAATTTGAATCAAATTTTATTTGTGTTGCATAATTTTTCATTTTGATTAATTTGAGATTAATTATATGCACAACGAGTAAGAATACCGATACAACAAAAGGGTAATAAAAGAAAAAATAAAAGGATATATTTTAAAATCCATTGATTCACTCACACTGCTGATTAATAAGATATCTATTAATCTATTGATTCACATTGAGTGCTAAAAAAAAATACATCAATTCCTCCTTGATTCCTCATAATACCAAAACAATTGGATTAAAAATAGTAAACCCTGTAACTTTTTCATAATAATTATACCTTTACACAAATTGGATAAACATATTTGTTAGGATTTTTATTAGTTGGTAATTTATTGATAATTGATTGTAAAAATTCAAAAATAGGTTTTAAAAATAAATTTGGATTGCAGATCAAGATTCAGAATTAGATTTCAAATTGAAGATGCATATACTGAGGAGATATGGTTTTTGTGGGCAGATTTTGATCTCAAGTGCAGATTTTGTGTGCATATTTTGAATTAAAATAAGATGTAGATATTTGGGTGGTTGCAGAATTTGAATTCGAGATAGAGTTGCGGATTTGCTGTGGTAGAATTTAAACCATGATCGCGATCTCAAGTTTGTTGCTACATATTCTAAAGTTTGAATTCAAGTTGTTGATTATTTGAATTGAGCAGTTTTTAATAAATCAAGATAAAGTTGCAGTAGAAGATATGATCCTCGGATTTTAAAAAGAAGATGCATATATCCTTAGATTTGAATTTAAAGAAAAGATGCAGATTGTCTATCGTGGAGATCAAGTTAGTATTTGAAGTGCCGAATTCAAATATGAATTGGAGATTTTAGTTTGAAGGAAAATCAAACTTGAATTTAGATGAAGATAATTTGGTGATTTAAATTCAAATTTTAGAGCTATCTAATCTAGCGTGAAGAGGAGATAATGTGAGATTATTTTAGAGAGAGTCATGAAGATAAAGTGAAGTATATCTAAGTTTGGATTTGAATGAGATTCTCGTGGAATCTTAAAAGCTTTATTTAAAGGCTCCATTTTAGCTCATAAGGGGTATGGGTTTAAAAGAGGCTAATTGAATCTTAGAATATTTTCAAAAAAGAGTATGTGAGTTTATTGTGAGCCTTTTGTGTTATTGAGATTATCATTCGGGAGAGGGATTAGAAGCTTTTGGGAGAAAGCGCTCTGCCATACGAAGGGAGTTCGCAGTGCAGATTGAAGACGAGTGGTGCTCGCTGGACAATGATCAAGTAGATTCGCTACGTCGATGACATTATCAAAGAGGGAGTCTTTGAGTGTATAAGTCCGATTGTTGTATGTAATCATTGAGACTCAGTGGATTGTTCACTATCTGAGCGTGGCCCTACTGATGTAGGTGTGCGTACCGAACTGGAATACTAATTTTGTATGTCTTTTATTCTCTGTTCTATTTTCCTGCTTGATTAATTACGTGTTGGTAAATCCAGAAAATTAATTAATCACCATATGTAATAATCAGATCCAACAATATTTATGGGTTAAACTGTCCCAAATGGAAAGTAAAAACCACAAAGAAAACCAGGAAAGTAATTAATTGCAAAATTAAAATTAAAGGAAAACAAAAATAGGAAACCAACTTATATTTGAGCCGACAACTATACCAAAATAAAAGTTGTGACCTTCCGAGGTCAAATTATTGCCAAAGATCCTGCCCTAATTATAAAATTGCTAATTTAATTATTTTAAAATTAAGTCCCTACTCAAGCTAAAAATATGATTCCTGATTTCCAAATGATCTTTCCCAATATAATCTGCATCAGATATTATACAGTAGAAAGCTCCTAAGCATTTTCCCACCTCCAATAAAAAAAAAAAATCATAAATGCGTTACTACAGGTAGTGGATGAATAGCACGCCAATCATCATAGAACTACAAGACATGTTTTGCTAGACGAAGCTGTACTTTATTTTAACAATCTTCTCTCTATGTCAATGTCCTGGGAAAAAGTCACTTTGTAAAGTTTCCATCAAGAGATTAGATTCTCAACAACGAAGGGATTTTTCCCTTTCTTTTTATTTAGGCCTCGTTCACTTTGCAGATTTGAGATTTCAATTCGAGTTGAGATATGACATTTTTTTAAGAGCTTTTCACTATAGTAGAAAAAATTAAATGTGACATTTTTTGAAAATTTTTTACTGTAGAAACCTAAAACTGAAAACTTAAATCAGTAAAATTAACGAGACCTTAGTTTATTAGGCTACTTTTATTTTCTTCTCCACTATATATGGCAAATAGGATGGTTAAAGTAGTTAATGGGCTCTAAAGGGGGATTTTACATATCTCATGCCATAACTTTTCCCTCCATTAACATTTTTCTGAGAAACATGTCGAACACATTAATTACCTTTTCTTTTCCTTGATTGCTTTGCCGTCTCTTATATTATATATATGTATCATGTATGTGTGTGTGTATATATATTATATTTATTTAACTGCTCACGGAAAGTATGCCGAAGATAATAACTTTTAGAAAGCTATGTGTATATAATATATAGGGGTTTGATTATACTAATGTAGTAGTTTGTTTATATCCATTCGCTTGAGCAAGTTTTCTAAAAGTGTTTGCAGTGGATAAAATACTCAATTATTTTGCCAAAGTTTCAACATCTTCCGTTACATATGTTGAAAATTTGAAAAGATCAGTTTCTAATTTTATATTATGATTCTTTACGATTCAGAGAGATATTGGAACAGAAATTTTCTAATCATACAACTAATTGGGGTTGAAATTTATGTCTTAGTTACCATACATAGACATTGGTTGTGTTTATTCCTACATGCTTGTAAGTAGACATTGATTCGTGTACACACACAAACCATGATCTAATTTTTAGGCTTTTAACATGCTTTCTTCATTATGCATGATCACTGTGTAATCTCTATTATTTTCAAGAGCAAACTCTAATTCCGTAATCATAAACTTGTTAGCACCTATGTACCATAAATTTTATGATTAATTTTAAAAATTCCTCCT